AAATAAGCTTAGCGATCTACTAAAATTTCACTCTTTAGGGCTACGATACTTTATGTGGTGCAAAAGGTAATCAGCTAAGCGGTGGACAGAAACAAAGAAGTAAGAGTAGTTCAAGTTTATAACTTAGGACTTTTGAAAAAATCTTCTTCCTTTCTTCACAGTTGCAATTGCACGAGCTCTTGTAAGAAATCCAAAGATATTATTGTTAGATGAAGCAACAAGTGCACTCGATTATAAAAGTGAGAAAGTGAGTGTATCTGTCAACAATAAGTTCCGAGGTTTTTCATTTTCGACTGTAGTATACATTTGTTTAGATTGTACAACAAACTTTAGACAGAGCTGCAGATGGTAGAACTTGCTTAACAATTGCACATCGTCTATCTACAATCAGAGATTGTAAAAGGATTGCTGTTGTTAGTCGAGGGCATGTCCAGGAAGAAGTAAGCATCACGTTATATCTTCTAATTCGTTCTTCAAGCACGATTGACGTTTTCTGTAGGGCGCTCATGATCAGTTGGTCGCTAAACGTGGTACATACTTTAGCCTGCTTTTAGCAGAAGTTCGACGCGACCCATTACCTCAAGTTCGACGTGATACATTATCTTAGCATCATCATCCGTAGTCAAATGAGAAAAAGAACAATGTCTGCTAAGGACACAGGCGATTAAGAAAATTTTTAAATCTTAAAATCAATTTATACCAGTTCTAGAGAATTTCTCGGACGATTTCAAGTCAATGTAGTTGTTGGTTTAAAAATAAAGTCTAAAAACCTCAGCCTGCACCAAAATAAATTCCATATTCGTGATCAGGATCTTCAATAATCTACAAAAATGTGTCTTTCGAGTATAAACCACAGCTTCTGTTCTCGGGTGCTCGCCCTTCTTATGCCTGTTGTCTGTCCACTTTTCTTTTCATAAACAATATTTGGTGGTAAATCTGGATCGGTTGTAACAGGTTCATCCTTATTCGATCGTGCTGCAGAAACCACACGTATCAGTATTTCCATATCATCAACATTTATATTTTCTAAATAATGTCTAGCAATTGTGAATATTGATTAACCGACGTTTGATCGGTCCATATTTGAGCACCGACATTTGACAGACGGACATTTGAGCGACCCGGCCATTTGAGCAACCCCAACAATTGAGCGAACCGCATCACTTATCGCTGCTCACACTTGTCAGATCTCCAAATAATTCAGTTCGTAATCGGACGGCAAAGAAATTATTATCATCATCGTTATCGAAGTGAACAATCATTCCATTTTCCTGATCGGAAAAAGTCATATTTGAAAAGTGCCTGCGCTGACATGCTGGTCGCTCAAATCACTGCACGAGAGCCACGCCCGGTCATGCTCAATCGACATCTCAGATTTTTCTTTAAGTAGTCTCATCTTGTACAGCACATTGCAAAACCTAGTATACGCAGATATTAGTGTACACGCCCCAACCCAAGAACCCATCTAGGAGAATGTATATAGCAAACGAACTACTCACTTAACCATTTGACTGTGTAAACGAGGCTATCATGTTAAGTTAATGTTTCTCTTACTCACACTTACTGACTTTGCTTTGCACTTTTGTTATATAAAAATATTTACTCGCATCTTCGTGTAAACAGACAACTACTAACCCTTTCAGGACCGGTTTAATTTTTATATATACAGTGCTATTCAAAAGTTTAAGACCTTTTTTATTTTGCAATATCTCGGCTTCCCTGACAGATAGAGACTTCATCCTTTTGTCAAAAGAAAGCTATCACTAAACTCTACGATATGTGAAAATATCGTTTAATGGTCTCACCTGATTCATTAAGCCGAAATGTGGCATTAATTGCAACCACATTTGGAGCTATTGCTTTAGTATTAGCCTGTGTCGGTGCTGGTACACCCAACTGGCAAGTGACTTACACAGATCCTCCCAACAACACAAATGTAGGAAGTACAACTAACTTTTTCTATACATGTATAATTAACATTAATTGTTTAAACAATAATCAATTGAATACAACCAGTGATTATTACAATCGTTTGAGAAATTCTGCCGGTCTATCAATTGTTGGTATTTTATTTTTGGCATTTGGAACTATAATGACACTCATCATGGCACTTACGAATTTTTACTATAGTCATCTTTCGGGATCGATACTCTTATTCTTGGCAGCATTATTCATGATGGCAGCACTAGCTGAAGGCGCATGAGTCTTATTTTACAATGGATATGCAGCTAATTTATATGAAACCGGACATTTACTAACAATATTTACATTAGGGTTCTCAGCATTTGCCTCTGGTAGAATTCAATATTCAAAAGCAGCACTAACAATACCACACGTCAGATAATTATATGATTTCTTTTGTCAAAGCTACCAGACATCTGCTTTTTATAATAAAACATTATGGAATCAGTTTTGTATTACAAACACAACAGGTTTTGTCTTTATAAATGTTTATTACATTTCAGCATTTCAATCTCATTCACGATCACGATCGTTTTATTTTCTGTACAAAAAACCTTAAGAGATAGTCCGTATAGACATTGAGAAATCTGATTATCCGGTGAAAAACTAGTTTATCTTTAATCATGTTTATTCGATTCTCCATCAAAAATAACCTAAAAACCGAATTTGGAAACGTTAGAAAACGTTTTCTTACTCGTTAATGAAATTTATATGAGTAGTCGTGCAAAATATTCTCAGAAATCACATGTTTTTGTATTGTCATTTTTTTCTGCGCATTATAATTTTGAGCTGTATATCATAGTTGAATCTGATACCTAAACTCATAGATCTGACTGATTCTTCGTTAAAACCAATCGAGACTTTTTGAGAACTACACCATTTTATTCAGGACAGTTTATTCTATATAGGGTGGATCAGAAGTCCTGAAGCACTTTCGATTAAATTTTTATCCGATTTGGGTTTAATTTAATATTTGGTTCAAAAGATAGAAGACTTAATTCTCTACTCTCTAAAAAAAATAGGCAGTTTAAAAAGCCCAAACGGTTTTTTATTGTTGTTTCTAAACCCAAAAGGATACATTAGCACATTTAAGAAACCATTTCAGGGTTTTGTATCGTTACTATATGGTTACAAGGACGAATATGGCTTTAAAGTTGTATGTATTTTGGGCACTTGCAAGCCGATAGCCGCAAGGCGGGCTATACTTCTTCTTCCCTGTTCTTTTGATTCTAACAGGCATAACAGCAACCACTGGCTAAAAGGCATCTGAACAGAACAAAAAGAAAGAGGAAAAACCCGTGAGATCATTTTGACTGTTCTGTAAAGCAAAAGGTTGCAAAGGTATAATAAATAAATGAATAAATAAATAAATGTGAGTATATAGTTAAAGTGAGAGAACGATTGACACAAACGGATTCATTTTCTAGCACGGTTAGATAAAAACATTTGCACGGAATACACGCACTGAATATACATACAATAAGAAAGTGAACGACTAGCTACTGATCAATGCTGATGAATTTTCAAAACAAAATTCTTTTTCGCAGTACTGATCAATTCAAGTACAGGTCAGTAGTTTTAGTATTGGTGCTGTGAGTAAAAACTACAAGAACTACCTTTGTCAGCTCGTTTTCAATCGGTCTCATTATGACCGACATGGACATTGATTTGATCAGTCCTGCGAAAAAGAATTTTGTTTTGAAAATTCATCAGCACTATCGGCTTGGTACCGACTTGCAAGTGCCCAAAATACATACAAATTTAAAGCCATATTCGTCCTTGTAACCATCATACTTGACTATTATTATTGATGTAAATATGATGAATATACGCGCTTTACCTTCCAAAGTACAACAAAACGGCTTTCGTTCGGCTTTCGATTTTGAATCAGCACATTTTCTTGTACAGAGAAGAGGCACAGGCTCTCCTATGGAGAAGCACTGGCCACTCTCGAGTCACAAACGTTGGTACTTTTCGGCTATACAAAGCTGAAAGTAAGACACGAGCTCTGGGAATTTGGATGTCCGTCTCTGAATCTTTCCATTCGGATGAGTTTGTTGAACACATCCAGCATTTGGAGGTCTGAGTCGTAATTCATCGACCGGCACGATTGTTAGTGGTCGAACCTTCGTCAACTCGGCATATCAGCCAAATTTGACAATTCGATCTTCAATCCATCATTTGTCGTCACGTTCAGTGCCACTATCGACTTGCGCCCGTATTTTTTTCCACATGGAGACAGATCGGAAGGTTTCCTTGGTGCGTCTCCGAATGAGAAGACGCCAGACTGTGTCAGTGTCGAATCTTTTTCGGCCGATTTTACAGCAGTGGGAATGCCCCTAGACCGATCGTCAGACAACAATGTCAGCGATCTCGACAAATCACTCACTGTTTATCAGTATCGTCCGAAAGCGTGACAATACTGAATTTGGATGAGACATTCGATTAACCGTCACTAACTTCCACCGTGGAAAAAGACGTTTACAAAATAGATCTAGAATCTGTAAAACGTGAGAGAGAATGAAAAGACACTGAAAAAAGTGTGATGCGAACAAAAAATTCACAGAGTACAATAGTGTTTTTAGTCAATACAGAAATCTTGTTTTAAATTTGATCCAACCATTGTTTTATTTCAAAGAAGAGAAAAAGCAATTTTAAATAGTACAGTCTAAAGAAAAGCATTAAACAGTCCAATCCTTTACAGAAAGTTCTGGCCTACTTAGTTCTTATCCATTCTAACTGTTTCTTGACTTCTGGATCAAGTTTTTCTAGCACTTGATTCGTTTTACGTGTTTGCTCACTATCCCATTTACCAGTACGCCATTTAACAGCAAAATGTTCACAATTATAATCCAATCTTTCAAATGTATGCTGTCCAACTTCATTATCTAATTCCTGTTGCGCTCTAGCTAGAGTTTCTTCACGTTTTTCTTTTGTATCATTCTCATATTCAATTAAATATAATGCTCGAAATAGTTCTTTCGGATGACCTGGCGGTGTAGCAGCAACAAACTCATTTAAATCACATTCACATACTTTAGACCATCCACCTATTGGATCTTGCCAAAAATGTATAACGGTAATTGTTGGTGTTAACACTTCTTTAACAATACCGTGATGAAAATAGGTTTTATGGGGCATACCAGCTGATATATGTGCACCCGGATATAAGATCTCGTGCAAATTATCAGTTAATAATAAACGTCTTGCATTCTCTGGCGTAAAATCCACTCCATATGCCCGAATTGCTTCACTAAGTAATTGCCCTTTTGTGAAACCGACTTAAAAAATATACAGAAAAATTCATAAGACTGAAAAACAGCCTGTACTCTTTCTATAGTACTCGTAAAGTATCGAAGTGCTGCTACTGATCAGTGCTGATGAATTTTCAAAACAAAATTCTTTTTCGAAGTACTCATCAATTCAAGATAGATCAGTACTTTTAGTATTGGTGCTGTGAGTAAGCTACAAGATCTACCTTTATCAGCTCGTTCTCGATCGTTCGATCGGTCTTCTGGCCTTTTATTTTCGAGCTAAAATGAACAATAAGAAATGTCTTCCATTTTAATGGGTCTGTCTGAGAATTGTTGCCAATGTCGCTCACCAAAACTCGATCATTTGTGTTAAATTTTGTTGAATTAATTGGTAGAACTGGTGTTGTTATTGACGCTGAGAAAGTTAAATCTCTCTGCAATTTTTTTCGTACTGCTAATTTTAATATTAACGATGCATAGGCTACTCGCAACGTCAAACTAAAACAGATAACACCAGTAATACCCGCTGAAAAGAGAAAACATTTATTGAAATAATCAATAATAGTTTCAAGAAATAAGAATTTTCTTACACCAGTGACTAAACGGTGTTTCATAACCAGTTGCTAAGCAAAGACAAGCCAGACCCAATGATTCTAATTTTTCTTTTAATTTTCCTTCCATTGTAGCTCCTGTAAGAGGCCCTTTCCTGAAAAGAAAATTAAAGAAAACATATTAATGTGATGTGTGATGATAAACGAATCTTACGTAAAGCAAGAGTGAAAAAAGTCTTGTACATTAATAATTCCAATAAATGTT